AGCTCCAGGGGTCCCTGCTTTGATCCTGCCTGCTGATGACTGGGATCTGTCAGCATTACAAACAGATTTGGCAGTAGCTGATGAATCATAGAATATCAGGGATGGAAGGAACCTTAGGAGATCATCTAGTCCCACCCCCTCCTCAAAGCAGGACCAATCCCCAGACAGACTTTTTGCCCCAGATCCCTAAATAGCCCCCTCAAGGATTGAACTCACACTGCTGGATTTAGTAGGCCAATGCACAAAGGACTGAGCTATTCCTCCCCTCCTTCAAACAATATCTGAGAATCTGTATGGATAGAAATTCCATGCATGAATAATAAGAGTATATCAGTAGGAACATACTACCAGCCACCTGACCAGGATGGTAACGGTGACGGTGAAATGCTCAGGGAGATTAGAGAGGCTACAAAAAAACCAAAACCCAATAATAATGGGGGATTTCAACTATCCCCATATTGACCGGAACATGTCACCTCAGGACAGGATGCAGGGATAAAATTTCTAGACTCAATTAAGGACGGCTTCCTGGAGCAGCTAATCCTGGAACCCACAAGGGGAGAGTCAATTCTTGATTTATTCCTAAGTGCCACACAGGACCTGATCAAGAGGTGAATATAGCTGACCTGCTCAGTAATAGTGACCAACATGTAGTTAAATATTACATCCTTCTGGGGGGGAATACCAAAGAAACCCACCACAGTAGAATTTAACTTAAAAAGAGGAACTATACAAAAATGAGGAGGCTAGTTAAATGGCAATTGAAAGGAACAGGCCCAAGAGCGAAATGCCTGCAAGCTGCATGGAAACTATTTAAAATACCATAATAGAGGCTCAAACTAAACGCATACCCCAAATAAAAAAACAGTAAAAGGACCAAAAAAGCAAACAATGCCACCATGGCTAAACTGCAGAGTAACAGAGGCTGTTAGAGACAAAAAGGCAAAGTTTAAAACCTGGAAGTCAAATCCTACTGAGGAATACGGAAAGGAATATAAACTCTAGCAAGTCAAGTGTAAAAGGATAATTAGTCAGGTCAGAAAAGAAGACCACCAACTAAAAAAAGACACAAAAATTAACAGTATTTTAAAAAAATTACATCAGAAGCAGGAAGCTGCCAAACAGTCAGTGGGGCCACTGGATGATTGAGGTGCTAAAGGAGCACTCAGGGAAAACAAGGCCATTGCAGAAAAACGAAATGAATTCTTTGCATTGGTTTTCACCGCAGAGGATGTGAGGAAGATTCCCATATCTAAGCCATTCTTTTTAGGTGACAAATCTGAGGAACTGTCCCAGATTGAGGTGTCAATAGAAGAGGTTCTGGGAAAGTGGATAAATTAAACAGTAATAAGTCACCAGCATTTATGAAATTGCAGAAATACTAATTGTGGTACATAACCTATCGCTTAAATCAGCCTCTGTATTAGATGACTACAGGATAGCTAATGTGACACCAATTTTTAAAAAAGGCTCCAGATGCGATGGGTCACTGTGTTTCAAACTCATTTTGAACCTGTTACATCCAAAAGGGGTTTCTGGGTGTGAGACAGAAGGTAACCCTGTGTGACCACAACCAGAGCACGTCAGAGACAGCTCAACAAAGTCAAACCATTCCATGGAGATGTTTTGATTAGGTTTGAGGGGAAGACTGTCTCCTGCCCTACTGCTGGAGGGGAATGATCACGTCCCTCGATCTGCTGGCAATGCTCCTACTTATAGAGCCCAAAATGCCGTTAGCCTTCTTGGCAGTAAGGGCACACTGTTGACTCATATCCAGCTTCTCATCCACTGTAACCACTAGGTACTTTTCTGCTGAACTGCTGCCTAGCCACTCGGTCCCTACTCTGTAGCAGTGCATGGGATTCTTCCGTCCGAAGTGCAGGACTCTGCACTTGTCCTTGTTGAACCTCATCGGATTTCTTTTGGCCCAATCCTCTAAGTTGTCTAGGTACCTCTGTATCCTATCCCTACCCTCCAGAGACACTACCACTCCTCCCAGTTTAGTGTCATCTGCAAACTTGCTGAGGGTGCAATCCATGCCATCCTCCAGATCATTAATGAAGATACTAAACAAAACCGGCCCCAGGACCGACCCTTGGGGCACTCCGCTTGATACCGGCTGCCAACTAGACATGGAGCCATTGATCACTACCCGTTGAGCCCGACGATCTAGCCAGCTTTCTATCCATCTTACAGTCCATTCATCCAGCCCATACTTCTTTAACTTGCTGGCAAGAATACTGTGGGAGACCGTAGGGATCACCACTGCACATGAAGGGCAGTTCTTGAACCCCGGTGAGGGTATCACCCAAGAGCGCACTACTGCTAACACTATATTCTAAAACTTTCTTTGTTTACTAACATTAACTATGTACAACAAACTAGGCTAAGAAAGGATGAATGGGAGGTTGTGAGACTACAACTACACAGAGGTCCAACTCCAGCCAACAGGCAGTGAGAAGGAACTGAGGAAGGTTGGGGTAGCACCGCCTCATATTGCCAGCGGAGGAGATACATACACAAGCATGAGCACTGCCCCTCTACGGGTACTGCTAGGCAAAATTATCTGTCTCCGGTGAATGGGGTGGGCACACGCCTACTTGGAATACATGTTTGCATCTACTCGAAGAAAAACTAAGGATGATATTAAACAGCAACTATTAAAGTTAGACTTTTTAAAAATCAGCAGATCTGGATAATTTGCATCTGAGAGTTTTAAAAGAGCTGGCTGAGGACCATTAATGCTGATTTTCAATAACTACTGGAACATGGAAGGAGCTCCAGAAGAATGGAAGAAAGCTAATGTTGTGCCACAGTTTAAAAAGGGACCCAGGTAATGATAAGCCTGTCAGCCTGACATCAATCCCAGGTAAAATAATGGAATGGGTGTGTAGCGGGATGGTCACCTGCTCCTGCCCTGAGGGGTTTAAGACAGCCCTGGGATAGGGCTGTTGCAGGAGAAAGCAGCTACGAGGCTGATTGGGGAAGCAGCCGCAGTTGGGCCACGCCCCAATCAGGCCTCAGCTGGCCCTATATAAGAGGCTGGGAGCCAGGTGCTCAGCAGACTCCCTCTAGCTTCTGAGATGGACCTACCTACCTGTAGGGATCTGAGCAGAGTACCTGAGTAGAGCAGGGCTGGGGAAAGGCAGAGGAGCTGGGGAGCTCCAGCTAGGAAAGCCCAGGCTGCGGCCTAGCAGAAGGCCAACGGGTAATGGGGGTTGCAGAGGGCAGCCCGGGGGTTGCAGAGGGCAGCCCAGGGGTAGGCAAAGGCAGCAGGTCCAAACCCCCCTTGCCGGTGATGAGTTGCTGATACTGCAGTCTGCCCCAGTGCGCGGGGGCTAGATGATGACTGGCAGTAGCCTTATAGTGAGGTGAGGTGGGGATAGTGGGTGGGGGTTCCCTGGGGAGGGGAGACCCTGAGACTGAGGAGTGTATGGCCAGGAGGCAGCACCCCAGATAACGGGGCACTGGGTCCAGGAGAGACACGGGGGCCAAGTGGCAGTGGGACACTGGCCTGCAGAGGGCACTCCGGAGGCTGGATGAGCTAATTCCTGGAAGAGACCAGCAGGAGGTGCCACAGGGGTGAGTCCTGCATCGCTACAGGCTGATACAGGACTTGATTAATAAAAAATGAAAGGAGGGTAATATAATTAATGCCAATCAACATGAGTTTATGGAAAATAGATCTCGTCAAACTAAGTTGATATCATTGTTTGATGAGATTACAAGTTGTGTCGATAAAGGAAATAGTGCTGATATAATATACTTAGACTTCAGTAAAGCAATTAACTTGGCCCTACATAATATTTTGATTAAAAGACTAGAATGATATAAAGTCAACATTGCACACATTAAATGGATTAAAAACTAGTTCAATGACAGGTCTCAAAATGTAACTGTAAATGGGGAATCATCCCTGAGCAGATGTGTTTCTAGTGGGATCCTGCAGCAATCAGTTCTTGGCCCTACACTGTTTAACTGTATTTGCACTGTATTTTTATCAATGACCCGGAAATAAATATAAAATCATCACTGATAAAGTTTGCAGATGACACATAGATTGGGGGAGTGGTACATAATGAAGAGGACAGGTCACTGACACAGAGCAATATGTATCATTTGGTAAGATGGACGCAGGCAAACAATATGTGTTTTAATACAGCCAAATGTAAGGTCTAGAAACACAGAATGTAGGCCATACTCACAGGATGGGGACTTGGGGGTCATGGTGGAGCTCCCAGTGTTACACGGAGGCCAAAAGGGCTAATGTGATCCTTGGATGTATCTGTAACTGGTGCAACCGCTGCTGGAATTCTGTGACCAGTTCTGGTTGACAAATTGGAGAGGGTTCAGAGAAGAGCCACAAGAATGATTAAAGAAATGGAAAACATGCCTTATAAAGAAAGACTCAAGGAGCTTAATCTAGTTTTTTTTTTTTTAATGGCGATATCTCATTTCCTGGAGCTGGAAGGGACCTTGAAAGGTCATTGAGTCCAGCCCCCTGCCTTCACTAGCAGGACCAAGTACTGATTTTGCCCCAGATCCCTAAGTGGCCCCCTCAAGGATTGAACTCACAACCCTGGGTTTAGCAGGCTATCCCTCCCACCACATGAAGAGAAGGTTAAATGGTGAATTGACCACAGTCTATAAGTACCTCGTCCCTCTCAGATTTTGGAAGGCACTTCAGATTCTTAAACCTTGGGTCGAGTGCTGTAGCTATCTTTAGAAAACTCACATTGGTACCTTCTTTGCATTTTGTGAAAGCTGCAGTGAAAGTGTCCTTAAAATGAACATGTGGTGAGTCATCATCCAAGACTGCTATAACATGAAATATATGGCAGAATGCGGGTAAAACAGAGCAGGGGACATATAATTTTTCTGGAAGGAGTTCAGGCACAAATTTAATTAACACATTCTTTTTTTAACAAGCGTCATCAGCATGGAAGCATGTCCTCTGGAATGGTGGCCAATGCGTGAAGGGACATACGAATGTTTAGCATATCTGGCATGTAAATACCTTGCAATGCCGTCTACATCAGTGCCATGCAAATGCCTGTTCTCACTTCCTGGTGACACTGTAAATAAGAAGAGGGGAGCATTAGCTCCTGTAAATGTAAACAAGCTTGTTTCTCTTAGCGATTGGCTGAACAAGAAGTAGGACTGAGTGGACTTGTAGGCTCTGAAGTTTTACATTGTTTTGTTTTTGAGTGCAGTTATGTAACAACAGCAAAATTCTACATTCGTGAATTGCACTTTCACAACAAAGAGATTGCACTACAATACTTGTATGAGGTGAATTGAAAAATGCTATTTGTTTTATCATTTTTACAGTGCAAATATTTGTAATAACAATTACACTATTTGATTTCAATTACAACACAGAATACAATATATGTGAAAATGTAGAAAAACATCCACAATATTTAATAAGTTTCAAATGGTATTCTATGGTTTAACAGTGCAATTAAAATTGCAATTAATTTTTTGAATCACAATTAATTTTTTGAGTTAATCGTGTGAGTTAACTGCAATTGACAGCCCTACTTAAAATCTATCTTTCTCTAATTAATAAACGTGTTTGACTGCTTTGTCTAAACCAGTATGTTTGATTGAAGTGTTTGGGAATTTCACTTGAGACAAGAAGGTTGGTGCATAAACATTACTCTTTGTTTGAATGTCAGACTTCATATGAACTTGTGCTGCACAGTGAAGGAACTGGGCATCACAAGACACACATCTCTGGGGTAGAAGTCTGGTCTAGAGAACTTGCTGGTGTTGCTCTGCAGTTTAATTCTTGAGTGTCTGGCTGTAGCACTCAATACTGTACACTTGGGGGCAAATTACACGCGAGAGGCTGGGTGTGAGTCGAACCTGGAAGGGTGGCTGTTCACCAGCAAAGCACTGTAAAAGGCATCTCAGACTGGAGAGCTGAGAGGACACAGCTGTTTTGTACCCTGGCAAATGTCACAACCCCATCACTTTTTTTTTTATTCCATAAGCATCAAGCTCTAATCTTCATCTGCAAACAAAAACTAACTTCTAGAAAGTTAAAAGGAAGTGATGAGAATATCAAGGTTTTGTCACACCTATTACTCCTAGCAGACAACAGTAAGCATAAGCTTTAGTTTTATTCTGAAAGTGTAGATTTAGGGCAGGTGAAAGATAGTGACCTATTTGACTTTCCATGGGCTTCATTCAGCCCCTTCTTGAGCATATGCCTTAATATACAGTTTTTAAATCTGACTGTCTACTACTCTGTATGCGGTGTTGTAGCCGGCTTGATCCCAGGATATTAGCGAGACAAGCTCCTTT